ATCATACATCTCGATGTCGAGATGATCAATCAAAAGGTCTTTCAACATCAAAACTACATTTTCCAATGGATTTTGAAGGGACATTCGTAATTCCACATTATAAGCTAGCATCCTTATATAAACATTTTTCCTAAAAGAAATAACAATAAAGAAACACATAATAATATAATAGGAATAGGGAAAGGTTTCTATGCTTCTCCTACAGCATATAAGTTCTATTTCCCCATACTATCCAGCCATCCAATTTTGATCAAGAGAACCCACTCACCGTTTAATCTTAAATCTGATATCTCAAATTATTTTATTTTTAGTTTTTTTTATACAAATTGTATGAATATGAAAGTTGGTACGTGCCATCTTCTCATTGGAACGCACCTATAAAAAATATTAAAAATGAATTTTCGATAAAATATAATGACCAAAATACTTTTTGAATCTTTCAAGGATATTTTGGCCATTTTATTTTATTGAAAATATTTTTTTTATACTTTTTACTAATACGAGTTTAATAGAGGAATGAACGTCCAAAATTTGGTGTCAAATAATTTATAAAAAAATTAAAAACAAAATAATGTAGAGACATGACATTATTGTGATGGAGATAATCACCCTTCATTCAGAATGGTCGGTTGGATGAGAAAAAAAGATAGAAACTCACCGTGAAAAATTAGGCTTGAAGCATGAGATCTGTAAAAATATTTGTTGCACATGTGGTTACTTTTTCATGACCTCTAAAATATTTGTTGCACGTGTGGTTACTTTTGGACAAAGGAAAAAGATTAAAACGTAGGCTCGGGAGCTGACGAGGGCAGTAAGAGACGTGAGGTATTACGTGTATGGTGAACTTCGAGAGATCTTTTGGCAGTTTATTGAGTAGACTAAGAGAGAGAAAGGGAACCCAACAATGGCCTAAGTTAACTCTAAATTAAGAGAGAGAATAAGGCTCAGGGCATCAATGAACAGGTTTAGCAACAAAATCTACACCAGTCCAGGAAAATCTAATGGGAACGGTTAATCGGGGCAAGATGCGATGTAACCAGCCTAATCGGTAAATCGGCTACTCCAACTTGGACAGGGCGATTAGAATTGGTAAATCGGCCACTCCAACTTGGTCAGGGCGATTAGAATTTGAACCACCCGATTTTTTTTACTTTGATCTATACCACCTCTATGAAATTATTAAAATTCTCTCTCTAAAAAGAAAATACAATAATTTTTTGAAAAAAAAAAAAAAAAACAACAAAGTAGAGCTACATAAGAGATAATTTGTACTCTTCTTTAGTGAGAAAAAAACCCAAAGATAAATAATTTTGATGAGAGAGAGTTACCTGCCAAAACGTGTAATACCCTCGTTTGGAGTGGGCAAAAAGGAAGAACTCGGTGCCTGGTCCACAAGGCCAAAACTTGAAGGGAAACTTGAGGAAGATCTTTGTGTAGATGATTATCTCACATTTTGATATAGCATCTTGCTTCCATTTCTACGCATTTTTTAAAAAAATAAAAAATAAAAAAAAATAGAGGTTTAGTTTTCATTAACCTTTAAAGTTAGCCTTAAAGAGGATAAGCTCACTAAAAGCAACGCGTTGGAAATTATTTAAAACTAACGCTATTATTAATTTTTAAAAAATTCAGAAATTTTCAACCTATTTTTTAGCTATTTCTAGCAAAAAAAAAAAAAAGTTTGTTTAGTAGTAGTTCGAAAACAGTAAAAACTACTTTTTAAAAAACATAAACTCGTATGTCAAGATGAGTTTTAACTCCAGATAATTTTATGATGGAACCTCACAAATGACATATAAAGGGCCATGAGTTTTAAATCAGTTTTAACTCCAGATAATTTTATGATGGAACCTGACAAATGACATATAAAAGGCCATCATATGGTATTTAACAATGGAACTATATCTATAAGTAAATTTTAAAAGTGCAATTTTACATCTACAGCACGCGTTATGCAGAAGCTAACCCCGACTAAAATGCCCTCCATCTTGTGTTATCTTGGAGGGGCAAAGCCCTTAACCAAAAAATATAAGTGCACAGAGAGGCTATTTGCTTTTTTTTTTTTTTTTGGTTACAAGGAGTTTATTATCAATTTTGCTGTCAAATTTCAAATTGGTATCATTGACTGCACTTAAAGTTTATAAAAAAATCTCAAATTATTCAATTTGACATCTAATTTCTCGAACTATGTGACATTGCAATAAAGATAATAGTACAACAGCATACAATCCCAACTAAATATGATTTAAAACCCTGTAAAAGTTCGTTCGTGGGTCAAGACCTTACAGGTAAGGGGGGACGGAACGTGATGAGATCGCTTTGGAGGACACCGAGACTGACGGTCAGGATTGCGTATCGCCCCCTGTAAATGTACCCATCCTCCGTTCTCACGCTCACGCCCTGCCTTCCGTACTCCATTTCTCGGACCACCTGTGTTTGTCGGAGAGACAAAGAAAATTAGCATCTCTCTTGTTTTCATCTCATGAAAAAAAAAAATTGGACACCCATCTCGTCTCTCTCTCTCTCTCTAGAATATGCTGATCTGTTCATAGAAGAAAAATTTGGGTGCTTTCTCTCTCCAATGTCTTGTTCTGTTCTATAATATTAGATAAAACAAAAAAAATGGGTATCTCTTTCTCTCTCTGTTCATGTCTCTCTCCTGAATATCTTGTGTAGTCTCTAGTCCAGAAAAAACAAAAAACTGGGCACCTGTCTCCCTATAGTCTCTGGTCAGTGGTCACTTTCTTTAAAGCATCGTGTTTTTGCTTATTAAAAACATAAACAAAAAAGAGGTACCTCTGAACCATAGTCTCGTCTCTATCGTGTCTTCTTACGAGAAAAGGAAGTTGTCCACCTATCTTTCTCTCTCTAGAGTCTAGAGTAACTTGTTTTTGTTTGTTCTAGAAAGTAGAGAGAGAAAGAGGGGAACAACTGAAATTCTGCTGCACTGCTCAATAAATTCAGAGCATGGCGGACTCTTATTACCGGCTATTATTTAAATGAAGTTATATATCCGAAATGCCCCTACATTTTCCATAATTTTTTTCTCCTTTTCGGGGTGAAAATATTAAAGCAGGACACTCATAGATACCCCCAATTTGTACTTCACCCCAACTTTTTTTTTTTTTTAACAAAAATACCCCCGTTTCCAAAATGAGATGAAGCGCTCCTTCCGACAAAAAAACCGCTGGTCCGGTTTTTGATACACATATTCTTTGTGGCACCATTTATATTCAAACCGTGCTGGGCTCCATTATAGGGAGAAAATGAGAAGCATAGGTTAAAATGATAGTATTTTGGTTTAAAAAATTCACGTTCTTTTTGCTTTTCGGGTGTGGTGGATGTAAAACTAATCGGTATAATAGTGTGTTATCCAAAATATCTTTGGTTTGGGGACGAATAGAAAGTCCAATTTGGGAGGTTTTTATAATTTCTCTTATTTAAAAAAGAAAAATGATCTTATAGGACTCTATATCACTCATGTGTGTAGAACTTCAAAAGATAACCATTAAAATTGGTGCTATAAAATCATTACTTTTTAAAAAATAAAAAATAAAAAATAAAAAATAAAAAATAAAAAAATATTTATGGGACATAAAATCTAGTGAAGGCAAAGTCTCATTTTTCATAAAACACGGAAGGCGGTGGCTTCCATGCTATAGCATCGAACACCTTCACATAATTTCCCACCCTCCATTATCAACGGTAACAAATCTACAGAGAAAAAAAAAAAAAAATTCGGCCAGAGGGTGTACGTACAGTGTACTCCCGCGGGAACATGTTAAGTGATTAAAGAAAAGAAAGCTCAGGAGTTGACTAAAGAACATATGCCCAAAAGACTACAACTAGGGAAAGGTACAAAAGACGTCATGTTGCCCTCAAACAAGACACGGCACCATAAATAAGCCCCTCACCATATTATCAAATAACGAAAATCGAAAAACCAAAAATTCCATAAAAACAAATGAGGTGAAATGTCCAAATTGCCTTCATAACGAAAATCGAAAATCCTAAAATTCCATAAAAACAAATAAAAGGTGAAATGTCCAAATTAGTTCATATTTTAAACGAGTAATGGTGTACGTGTAAGACCCTAAGTGATTCTCTTTTATTTACGCGTGTAAGATGTTAAAAAGTTCATACGGATATCTACGAAAATTATCATCACCTTATTATGTGAGATTTACTTTTCTTGTTTAAAGGTCCATATCAATCTTAATATTGATGTTTTGGGTGATGTGAGGGGGTCCTATAACATCTTTTTTCATTTTAAATATAGTGAGGAAATCAATGCAATGCTAAACTCAAGGAACCCTATTTCTATGTACACAAAAAAACTTGCAGAAGATTTATTGAGAATCGAGTCTAAAAAAAAGGTTGGAATGAAGAGAGAGAGAGAAATTACCTGAAGCCTACAGAGAGAGAAATTACTACAGTAAACCTAGAGAGAGAAAATAATTGCCGAGATTGATACCTTATTGAGTTTCAAGCGAGGATCAAGAATGTGGCCTTCTCTGGTGGTGAGGAAAGACTGGGCCATCTTGTACAGGAGATGGTCGTACCCTCGGGCATCAGCCACCAATACCTCTCTCTCTCCAAATTCCGTATATGTGGCAATGGGTTCCACTTCTGCGTAAACATAAATTACCAGTTACTTTCTCTCTCTAAAAGTGAAAACAGAGCAATATTTTTCCTCTTTCGAGAAGAGGGAAAACTAAAAACTGAGGAGTTTTAACTCATCAGAATTTGAAGGGCGCAATTTTACTTAGTAAGTTTACCTGCCATCTCGAAATCGTGGAGGATATAATCAATCGCAAGCTCCATCGGCGTCGAGGGAGCACTGAAAATTGTAGAGAGAAAATAATGGTGAATACTTGTGGAAAGAGGAATAAACCTGATATGTATTTGAGATAGAGAGATATTAATCAATAGGGGAATACGTATTGAAAAATATTAATATGAAGGTGTAAAGTAGAGGGAGAGAGAGAGTAGCCTCTTACAGTGGAGCTTCTTCAGTCGCGCATTGCCCGACTTCGGCCTCTTCGCATCTCAGCCGTTCATTTGCCAGATGTACGGCTCTCTCATAAGCTTCAGACGCCAAGCTCCTCGGGAAAACGTTACCGCTGCAACAAAAACACGAAATTACAGTCAAAAAAGAAAAACGGAAAGAAAAAAAAAAAAAAAAAAGTATTTCTCATTGACCCCATCTAATAAATTGCCCCCTTCCCTCCCCGAAAAAACGAACGGTCAAAAAAATATCTCAAAAAAATGAGATTTTAAGAGAAAATGCTGATACCTTTGGTCGTAAATATTGAATCTTGCATTACTATAATCGGAAAAGCAAGTTCTCAGGCCAAGTTTTTGGGCGAGTTCCCAAACGGGATTCAACTCTTTGCCTCCCACTCCCTGTATCCAACCAGCGCCAGTTTCAACTTTGAGACTGCAGAAATCTTCTTTATGAATTCGGCCACCGATTCGATCCGACGCTTCAAGAATAACAAAATCTTTGATACCTTTTTCCGAAAGCACTTTCGCCGCACCTAATCCTGCGAAATTGAAAACAGTGAAAACGGAATAACACTTACATGTTAAACAAATAAACATGAAAAAAAAGAAAAAAAGGGGAAAAAGGGTACCTGAGATGCCGGCGCCTATTATGATTACAGAAGCTGATGAGAGAGATGGGATATCCATGAGAGAGATGTAAAATTGGGGGGTGTTTGAGAGGAGTTGAAGAGCAAGGAAAGGGGTTGTACGGATAGTAGAGGAATGCAATAGTAGGAAAGTGCGTTTATGGGGGGTCAATATATAGGGGAACGAAGACTTGGAAATTAGAACGAGAAAAGAAATGTGAATTAGAGTTAAATGGGGGTTAATAGAAAGGAGGAAGAGAGAGAAAGTGGGAAAGGGACGGGGGAGGATGATTGGGTAACAATGGTGATGGAGAGCAGAAATGTAGAGAGAGAAAGGAGAGAGAAGAGTTTGGGAAAACGTGTGGTCAACGTCGGCGTTGAAGAGCATTGAAGCTTCACCGCTCGTCCCACTCACCGAGGTCCCATGGTAGATTTGTCCCACGTGAAATGCATTCAATCACCACACTCTCTCTCTCTCTCTATTCTCTCTATTCTCTCTAATCCCAAACCACCTATGCACTTACAAACCCTCACTTTTCAATGTCCTATTTTTTTAAAATTATACGTACCGCTCTCTCAAATTAGGTTTTCTTGGAACGCCTTCGGTATTTTTTTTACGGGCAAGCTATGATGCCACTTTTAATGGGCGATGCGATGACCCCAATCACAATGCTATATTATTTTACTTTTAATTGTTTTTCTCACTTTTAATGGGCGATGCGATGACCCCAATCACATTGCTATATTATTTTACTTTTAATGTTTTTCTACAAAGTATTTTGATATCAAATTTTGAGCATCTACTTCTCTCTTAAACTTTGCACCTGTAAAAATAAATAAATAAATAAATAAAATATTTTCAATAAAATAAAATGATCAAAATGCTTTTAAAAATTTTAAAAGTATTTTAGTTATTATATTTTACTGAAAGTATTTTTAAAAATTATTTTTAGGTGCGCTACATTGAGATTATGGCACAACCAAATTTCATATTCATATAAGTTTGTAAAAAAAAGTAAATGTAAAACACTTTGAGGCGTTGGATCTAGATCAAACGGTCAATTTCTCACTTGATCTAAATTGAATGGCTGGATGGTAGGAAGTATTTCTCTTCTATTACAGTAGGGGAACTAGAGAAACCTTTCCCATTTTTTATACTATATTATTAATTACAATACTATTTATTTTTACATTATACCTCCGACTAAAAATGTTCACCTTTAGACCAAAATACCCTTATTTAAACCTACATTTCTCTCTCTAAGCCGGTCCAACGCATTTTGTGTCATACCAAACAAATTTTGAATATTAGAAGCAAACAATACTTCTCGTCAATAGTTCAAACCAATGGTTTAAAAAACGGATCAGTGACCCGGATCGGGCACCCAAAAAACCGATCCGGATCGGCGAATCGGCGATCTGGATCGTGAATCGGGTGAATCGGTCAGAATAAAGCTTAAAAAAAATCCGAAAAAATTATTAAAATTCTTTATAAATATTGATTTTTAGGAATTCAATAAGAAATGAGGGTACTTCATTAAGAATTTTCATGTTTTTGAATGAATATGCGAATATTGATATGTTCTTTCCCTGCATGAACCGCCATTCAGCATTTAATTTTCATCACACAAAAGGATAAACATAGAATTATCATGGAATAAGTATATCAACATACATGGACTACAATAAAGTATAAAATTAGTAACATATGATCTAAAAGACGACGTTATTGTTCTTCTTGGTCACGCTGGTGCCATTGATTGAATTCGTTTAACAATTCATTGATTCGATCTAAAAGCGAATCATCGATATTAGCAGGCGTCTGACTATTCCCAAATCCCTGACTGTTAGTGTTTTGTTGTGTTTCCAATCCAAAATCCCCGAAGCTTGTCCATCCTTCATGCTCACCTGCACTGTCGTGCTCATCCCTACACTGTTGCTGTTGGGACTCGATATGTGAATAAAATGGCTGGGATAGGGTGGCCTCAGAATCATCATCTCTCTCATTTTCTCTTAGACCCCCTTCTCACTCTCCCTCATTAGGTGCAATATCACCGACATATTGTGGATACATTGGCTGGCTGCTTCCTCTTTCATGCTGCTCATCACTTTCTTCAATATCTTCATCACCGATAGCCTCAAGGAACGCTCTCTTGTGCAACACTGGCTCCTCCTATTCTACTACCCATTGGTCTGCTGTGTCTGTGACAAATA